CCCTTGGCCCCACCCTAGCCCCGCCCGGCTAGCCCCACCCTCATCCCTCAACCCCTTTACCTCCCTCTCCTACCCCACCCAGCTCCAGTCCTCAGGACCACCCTGGCCCCGCCCCCAGCCCTCAACCCCACCCCTTACCCCGCCTCACCGTGGCCCTCACCTCGACTCTGCTGGTCCACGTGGGCGACACGGACATAACCACTCTGACAGCCCAGAGCTGAGAGGCGCCGGGACGTGCCAGGGAGGTTGTGGACGTCCAGCCAGAGGACGCTGGCGGGCGGATGGATGGACAGGACCGAGGGCCATTGCTGGGCCCAGCCCCGCCCCTCTGCCTCCCCAGGGGCAGTTGCCCCTCCCTGTAGCCCTGGGACCCTGCTGCCTGATTCCTGCTGGATAATCCTCACCACCCAATTCCTCTGGGGTCAATTCTCACCACCCGAGGGCTGAGTCCACCTCTTGTTTTTTCTGGTGTCACCCCTGCTGATCAATTCCTCTGAAGTCAGGCCGTGGACTCGTTTTTCTGAGCTCCTCCCCGGTGCCCAATTTCTCTAAGGTCCCACCACCTGATTTCTCTGAGGTCACTGCCCCGGTCCCCAGTGGCCTCTTTCGGGGCCTCTCCTACCTACTGGTCAGGTTCGTCAGCTCTGGGAAGAGGTTTTCCACGGGCTGTTCCTCAAACTGATGCAGCCCCTCGTTCTGGGGGAACCAAGACCCACCCCACCCCCGCTTAAGTCAGTTTCACACATATACCCACCCAGCGCCAACCCACAGTGAACCCCACAGGGCTCTGCCCAGCACGCCTCCCCGCCTCACCTCCTTGTAGAGATGAACAGCCGGGTCATTCCCACTCAAGAGAAACACGGTCTCCAGTTGATCCCCGACCTGGACCCTGAAAGCAGAGCAATCTAGAACCCAAGGTAGTGGAATCCATGTGGTCTGAGAACCAGAACTCTCCTCTTGCAAAAACCCCGGCCTGTTGAGAACCTTAATATTCTGGGATCCAGACACTAGACCCAGGGTTAGAATCTCAGGGCTCAAGCTCCTGAGTACTCTATCTCCTTGAAATACACAACTGTAGAAACGAGCCCTCAGAGAATCTCAGAATCAGGGAATGTACCTCCCAATCTCAGAATTGAGGGAACATGGCTTGCTAGAACCTCCCACTCTTAGAGCCCGCATCTACTCCTACCTTCGCTCTGTGGATTTAGGAATGGAATGTGGAACTCTAGAATGAACTGTAGAACCTTAGAAAGCTAGGACCTCTTCAATCTGAAACCCCAGTATTCTAGAAGTGCTGTTTTCTGTCTCCTTAGAAATACTAGAACTTCTAAAATTTGCCATCACAGATTTCAGATTCACGGAATGATAGAATATCCAAATCCTAGCAAGAAGAACATTAGCGCAATTAGAATCTTCAGTTTCGGGAACTCTCACCTGTTAGACCAGGGGTTGGCCAACTATGACCTGTAGACCAAATCCAACCCACTATCTGTTTTTGTAAATAAAGTTTTATTGGAACACAGCCACATTCATTCATTTACACAGTGCCAATGGCTGCTTTCTGGCTACAATGGCAAAGTGAGTAGTTGTGACAGACTGGCCCTCAAAGCCTAATATTTAGTATCTGGACTTCTATCAAAAAAAGTTTGCCAATCCCTGTTCTAGACCATCTGTGTTCTGGAATGGAATCTAGAACTCTAGAATGGATTCCACACACGTTGGGGTTCTAGCACCTTGGTATTCTAGATGGTCTATGTTCTATCTCCTTGAAAGATGAGAATGTCACCGGGCGCAGTGGCTCACGCCTGTAATCCCAGCACTTTGGGAGGCCGAGGCGGGCGGACGGATCACGAGGTCAGGAGATCGAGACCATCCTGGCTAACACGGTGAAACCCTGTCTCTACTAAAAATACAAAAAATTAGTTGGGCGTGGTGGCGGGTGCCTGTGGTCCCAGCTACTCGGGAGGCTGAGGCGGGAGGCTGAGGCAGGAGAATGGCGTGAACCCAGGAGGCGGAGCTTGCAGTGAGCCGAGATCGCG